TGAAAATTAAGCCCCATTTTTAACGGGCACAAATAAGTCTGCTCAATTCCTTTAAACTACAAGTGTCTGTTTGGGTCCGACGAACCCAAACAAGAAAGAGTGCCTATGGTCGGTTCCGAGGGAGTAAGTGTACCTTCAAGTGGACTATGGTAGGACGTCACAGCAACTCTTCAAGGAGTACACGGTTGCGTTTTGGCATTCGAAGTCGTATGGTTTCGTTCATGTGCCTGCTTTCATTTAGGAGACTCACCCTATTGGGATTTCGGAAATCTTGCAACATGAGCGCATACTGTCAGTTTTTTTGTATATTTAAGTCCCTAAGTGTTTTTACAACGTCGAAAGGTTATGGTGGTGGGCCGACCATAGCAGCTACGTAGGCGGAGAGGAATGTGTACTCGAAAATCTTTGTTGTTCCGTTACTTTCGGTGGTATCACTGTGATTCTAGTCAATCGATGAGAATTCGTTGTTCGATTCTTAATCCTTCGGATACACATAAGGTTTGTGGATAGTCGCGTTAACGGCCAATTTCGGGCTGTTTTAGTATCAGTATCCTAGCACCCCTGGGTGAAGCCATGACAATCGTATCAGTAGGCAAATGTAAGAGGAACGACATGCAATTCATTGTGAATGCTATTTTTTACAATAAGACTTATTTTCCTAATAGGAGTGGAAATTGCTAGTGTGACCTCTAACACTCGAAGATTCTTGCAACACATTTGTCCATTGTCTTTTCCAAATACTTTCTAAACCTATAGAATAAGTGATTAAATACCGACCATTTTTTCTCTGAATTTGCTAGTCCTCTCAGATCACATGTCTAAACTAGGATGCATTTTTTGGCTCAGAAAATACAACCTGCTCGAAATAAATTCTACTGCGGTACTCAAATTCGCATAGAAACTATAGGCTCAGAACGCACTAAGTGATTGTAATGGATTACTGAGCTTGCAGATACCTTGAGAACGGCGGCCACCACACTTCATAAAAATAATAAATAATTCTAGGAAAGTGAATTATTTCACCTTACTATAGCTCGACCGAAAATTTCAATGATATTAGACTGCGCTGATCACAAAACGCTGTGCTCCGAGAAAGTAATAGTATTGAAGAGCTCAAATATGATAGGCTGGATTTTAAAACAATTGAATCGTAGGCAGAAAACGAAGTCAAGTCACTTTGTCTCGATCGTAAATTCCGACTGAACCGTCATACCTGATCGCACCATCATACGTTCGATCTTGAAAGACTATTTCATGTATACCTACAGTGGTAGTGCGGAAGGGGAGCTTGATCCAGAGATGATTAATGAACTCAGCAATATACTCCTAACTGTTGGATTCACCTATTGTCATATTTCGCCCAATCAGGTTAATTCGGCCATCAGGCATACCAGTCTTTAACAACACTCCACCAATTTTAGTCCAACACGCGGGTTCAGACATCACCCTCTTTCCGCTTAATCTATTTACCCATTGCATGATCAGTGCAGAGTATCTTTTGCGCGGGAAACAATCCACTATCATATCACATCAAAAACGGGTCTGTGTAAGATGTAAAATGTCACCGCCCAATCCACCATATATCCATTATCTCTAGAATCCTGAAGCGGTGAGTTAAAGAATGCATCATGAAATAACGGGGTTCTATGGGCTACGGTTGCTTGAAAGGAAACTTATGCAGCAGCTGCGAGATAGATTATCTTGGTTATATAACTGCAGCAAGAAAAACCGAAAGTGCTGTCGTCGCGATAGTTCTTGATATCAAGAAAACATTTGACCGTGTCCCACAAAATGTATTGCTACAGACGCGTTGGATCTATGGCATATCAAATCTGCTTCTGAGCTGGTTGTTTTTCTACCTCGAGGGCAGAAAACAAGTAGTCAGAATTAGAAAGTGTACATCAGAAGACAATTTAATATCTAGCTGCGTGATTTAGGTTAATGTGCTGGGTTCGCTTTTATTCCTAATCTACGTTAACGATAATGCTGACAAAAATATTCGGAAAACTGTTCCTCTTCGTTGATGATATTGGATTTATGTACTGCTTTACTCTTTGTCAAGGTAGACCCATGGTACCCTGCGTTCGGTCGATTTGACCACATTAGAGAACTGGGGAATGTCCTGGAAGCTGCGATTTGCCACTATCAAGTGCACTGTATTGTACCACACCTGTGACCTCTTGACATTCGCACTCTAAGCAACACATATTGCAGTGTGTAGCACAGTCCGAGACCAGAGTTGAAGATGTTCCGTCTCATTTAATATTCTACAGCATGTCATGTTCTTTCAGAACATTGCCTGAAAAGTTATCGCCCACATCTCCATCGAATAACCTGGGGTGTTCAACACATTCAGATGATCACATTCTCCGCTCCTTGTATCCAGAAATATTGGATCGTTGTGATACGTTGTTTGGAAACTGTCGCATATACTTTGAAACCCTCGGTTTTATTAAATTATACATGATCTGTCCCACCAACCAGCATGCTGGTGTCACACTGTCACGAGATATGCTATTTGTTTATTTATTTCATTATTATTTATATTCACTCATTGTATCTCATTTCTGTTCTTCCGTTTACTTTCTCGTTGGTTACGGCTGAGCCGATCTGAGGAGATGTATTGAGTCCTACAGGCCAAATCTTTGCCCCTACATGAACAATGATTTATCACGGGATAAAATCAAGTGCTTGACACTTCCCGTAGGATGGTTGGGGTGAATATTATGACAGGAAAATATATGTGGGTCATCTACCAAACGGATAACCAGAGACCCACTGGTAAATATCAAAACGTGTGATATACCTAGAAATGTGTGGTAAACGGGCTGACTGGCTGGAGTGACCAGCATATGAAGATTGCCCAAATGGTAAGTAAAAGCGGTAATGGGATGCGTGCTTCTAACTCACCCCGGCACACAACCATATGAGGCGTGAAGATATGGTTGAAATGCCTTCAGGGAATACTGTACACAGAAGCAGGTCCAAAGGTGGCGGTTCCACGGATGACCTAATTACTTCGTTGGATCTTTCTTACGATACTTTACCTTGAATTCCTTAAAACTCTTGTTCCTTGTCTTTTGCATTTCTGTCTTCCTATTACCGAAATCACCCATTTTTAACAACCTAATCACCGCTTAAGGAACAGAGCTGTGGAGTTATTGCAAAGCTTCTATAGCGCAGATTTCGGCGGACTTATCTCAGACATACACCCAAGATGCAATGACTCAGACAGCGCAAGTAACAACGGAGCCGCCTCTGGGATGTGAGTGCCAATCCACAAAGAACTTAATGAGCTCTACTCAAAACACTGATGCATCTATTATATCAGTTGCAGTAAACCCAGTGAACTATCCTCATGTCACTAATCTATCTATCGTGTCATGCCGCAGTGAACCGTATTAGTTTGCCTCAGCACATTGTGGCAGTTACCGCACAAACCCACAATGATACTGAGTCTGCTTCATGACACTACCACTGGGTAACAACTCATATGCTTTGTCAACATCCAAATTTTTTTTACAGTTTATGTATTACCCTGCTTTTATATCGAGCTATAAACACGAACTTGTAGAAGGCATGCGTCGCACTGGATGGGTCAGTAAATGAACTCTTGCTAACGACCAGCCTTACTTGTTCGGGTATCAGTGTAGTCGTGGTAGGTTACGCGTTTTCGTCTCCAGTCTCAGCTCGCGTGTACATCTGGCGGTTAGGTCTTGTTAGCCCGCAAGGTCCCGAATTCGTTTAGCTATTCTGCCTCCGTGGGGTACTATCGGTGAATTACGTTCGGCTATTCCGACAAAGAGCCGAAGTAACTAGGACGCGTTATAACAGGAGTTGAGAACAGTCTTATTATTAGTATGTTATAATTCTGACATAAACTTCTTATTGTAACTTGATCCATGGCCTACATCTGCAGCCCATTTTGAGGACTTCGAACGTGAATCACTGCAGACAATTTTTCTAGTGGTTGGGATTTTACTGAAAACCGTTGACATTAATCACATTCGGCAGTACCGCTTAGCTGTATCACAAAACGGCTGCCGATCGTCTGTGCTATTTAGACCGTATTCGAAATCTTATGTGATGTCTCTCCTTCAACCCATATACAAAAGATTGAGTAGTTAGATTTTTTCCTGGTCACGCTGATTTTTTCCAAGGCAGTAATTATCTGATTATGCTTTGATGGGCGCGTGTCGCAATGCCGAGAATAAAGGTTTATTTATAAGTTCATCTTATTCACTCTGATTGCTTTTTACAGTAGCCCTAAAATATATTTTGCAAATATTGCTTAAGTTTCAACTACACGCGTTTGACAACCTACCGTGGTTGCATGGCACTCTTTTCTTAGCGGAAGGATGATAAGCTAAAATTTGCCAAAAGTAAGTGAGCTAAGTAATATCGAATATTGCGTCTTGTTTCTATCACAGAAATCCTGAGAATTTGTTAGTTTAGACTACTATTACCCAAATTGGTTTATTCTAATTTTATTTTCGTTGTAAAATTTGTGCTGTTTGAGATCTCTGGAATGCTCATGACTGCCCCCGCGAAAGCATTACGTCACATAGCTTGGGATCAGCTATGAATATGGGGCCGGATCATGCGATTGCTTGTGTACAGCAAGTATCTATCTCTACCTAGCTGTCCTGTATATAGAAAACGGGTTAATGGACTTCATATACGTTGTTCACAATAGATTGTCGCTGGTCAAAGTGTTCGCTGAACAGTAGTTTTGCTTTAAACGTTTCGTCCCCAACCTAGGTGAAATCATCAGTGCGCTATTCTGTTTCGGAGCGGAGCAATAAAAGCCGTTAGCACACGTGCGTCGGGTAATCGTGTGCGTGATTGGTCGGCTAAGCTGACGAGCCATCATTCTGTTCGACGGCCAGTGACCATCGAGACCGGCCTCTCCGATTCGTCCTCAAAACGTTAGCACGTGTGCCTCTACGCTTGATATCGCCGTCTGACGCGCTTGCCTGCGTTCTGCTCCGCTAGCTTTAGTTGATTTAGCCAGCGGTCTTTTACCCGGTGTTGCATATACCATATCAAGTTCATTGTCAGTTGATTGAAGTGACTGCAGAGTACCAAGCTTCCATGCATTCTCTCGCCTGCTTCGAATTTCCACTTGCTAGCATCATTGCATTGCTAAAGTCCACTGGTTTCCCTCTTGGTATTTATGCAAGCAAGAAAGTATGTGATGTCTCCATATGGCCACGTGTTCCATGATCTTTGCTGAAAGTTTCTTTCTAGTTTATCCTATATACTATTCGTCACATGCTTTGCAAATAATCTAGGAGCATGTTTTATGCGACACTAACGAACCACAAGCTAAACCACTGTAAGAGGTAGAGTCGTTCGGTACCATTGTAACGCGCTAACATACAACCAGGATAAAGATGATCCCAAGGCTGTAACTTTTTGGTGGACGTCGCTTTCTATTGTTGGGGATACAGGCGTGATGATTGATATAAGGACATGTACTGATTGTAAATTACACACTTCACGTCTTCGTCTCTGAGTAAAAGCAACCAATACTTTGAGCATTGCCTAATCCTCGCAAGAAGCAAATACTTAGCACAGATACAACATGCTTCTGGTGCAAGATTTCCTATCAGTAGTGGGAACTGATCCTTCGGATAGACACTAATCTGTGTCAGGTTTCAAATGACATGTCACACTTATAAAAACCTTTCCTGTATGCCAGAAGAGGGACCCTCGACAGGCCTTCTGAACGGCGAGGGTTTTAGACTGCATCAAGATGTATCTTATGTACATTCCTTACGAAGCTATTGATGTAAAAATAGTGTAGATTTGTTGATCTATGGCGGTATACCAGTAACTGCTTGAAGTAAACTGGTCAATACAGCTTTTTCATACATTTCCATTAATATGGTCTAATTCAAAACTAGATAAATAGAATAACGTTTGCTTTTGAACACGGTCGTCCTCAGTGCTCACGTCCACACGCATCATGTGTTCGAGTAGGATCCTGCTAACCGTTCAGCCCGCAGTTCTAACCCAATCAAAATGCTAAAACAACCAGTACATCAAAAGCTTTGGTCCATGAACTTCATGTTCATTATCTCCAGTACAGTGATCACATGATGTTAACCGAAGGAGCAAAATCAGACCAGTACATTGCGAATTAAAGTTCATCCTTGCAGGCCCCATGTCCTGAGATCGTAGCTGCTTATGAAACGCTGGCTTGGATGAATGGGGCATTTAAGGTCAAGCTGAGGACACATTCCGTGATCATCAGTGCGCGTGGTAGATTTAAGTAGGTTGTACACACACCTCACTTTTGTCAGTTCATTGGATGGCAGCGATTCGGCAAACCTGCGTGCGGTATAATAACGGAGGAAAAACCCCTGTGGCTGAGGTCTTTCGTTGCGTCTCACAAGTGAGTATTTCTACTCTTGTTATTTGCCTTTTTTCAAATACGGACTGCCAAAGATCATATGTGTATTGTTCCTTGCAGACCACTAAAGGAATGGACACAAGCAAAGTGACCGATAAACTCAAGTACGTCAACTCCACAATAAATAGTACATTGTTGTGAAAATTGGTCATTAAAACCGTTAGTCGTGAAACGTTTGCCACATCCCTGCTAACACTACTTATAATCTAAGACTAGTTAGTATTAATGCTGTGAAAATTATACCCCTGATCATTTTGAGTATAGTAGAGTAAATCGCATTCAGAATGTTCTGTTGCGCCGAGTATACAGACCATGCATCCATATCAGTGATTAAGCCTGTATGGTCGTGAACTGCGATTCCCTTGAATTCAGTTTGTTCTTGGAATGGGTAGATGAAAATTTGGTACTCAAGATGACAGCCATTTAATCCTATACACCTTGTCCTACCAATTAGATGCGCTATTAATGGTGAATATGAGCTTTTTTACGAAGGAGTGTGTATGAGGAACCTTAGTGGACGGTGGCCTGAGTGAGCGATTGGTAACCGAAAAACGCTCGGTTGGGACAACTTCCAAACACACATTGGACACTAATCGAGCTTTGCTGACGAGGGGGACATCCGATTCGGCTAGTATCTTGATTTCAACGGTCGGATTCTCCCTTATATGGACTCATCCTGTGCGGATCAAACATGTTGCGGAGTCTGATTAGTGAGTCTCCTTCCAGGTAACGGGCATCTGCACTGGAAATTGGCTTTTCCAATTACTATTGTTGTAGATTCTGATGCGCATCCGTATTGCAATAAGCAATTTCTGAAATGGCTTGCGTTGGTTAATCACGGCCTTTTGTTACTGACTTTAGTCCAAAGTACAGAGGTCTTAGTGACATGGACACCCCAAGACCAGTTTCTTGACATATTCATTTAAGTTTGTTTGTCCATTTTTAAGCCGGTAAAGTATCAGCTTTTATCCGAATCCACTGGTTAACTGTCAGAGCTGAGTACATGTGCGGCACTGTAACAACATTTGCGGCTTTTTGACTGGTGACTGTGTTTGAAGTGTAACACCGTATGGGGACTTCGGCAGTGACGGGCACTACCTTTTAGTGGCGCATTTTGTATGATGAGGTAGTGTTGACTGATCCGGATTCACAGCTCCCCAGTGATCGCGGTGACTAGGATTTAGTTTACATTTACGCCGCTGAGTGAAACTGTGTGTCCCAGCTCACATGGTTTAAGCTATCAAACTATCAATGAATCCCTGAGTGCTGTTCAGGAGTTACTAGAAAACCGCTGGGATGAATTGTCCGTACACTAGTCCTGCTGTGTCAATCATGTTGAGTCTCACTTTTTTCACCAGGGCATCCATATTTAGACAAACATGTCCAGCGGAATCCAGTCTACGGAGTGCATTTTTGCGTCTGCTCGATATTACACACCCAACAGCAATCACAGACCACCACGTGTTGCAGGAATTACTGGTTTGGGTTTAGCATTGGTTCACACTGAGAAAACGACTAGATTTTCATGCTGCATTTTAGTAGGTTGTCCGATTATCTGCCTTACTGGTAGCTGCTGATAAGCGTGTTACTTTTCTGATGGATTACCGACGTAATTTAGCACTTCGTGATGCATATACTACAAAATACTTCTTATCGTTGGCTTAATTTTCAGAGGTGGCATGGATTACGTGAAGAGTATGTTCCAAGGAATGGGTGGTAGTGGTAGCGATCAGCGGTACACCCTGGATGAACTGAACGATTACGTTGATAGAAAGAAAATTTCCATGGACAAGGAGAAGATCAAATCCTGTTTCCAACCAGATCAACACGGCAAGATGGATCTGAATGAGTTTTGTAAGAAGATGTCGGACCATGTTACTCCCTCTGAGGACTCGGCGCTAAGAAATCCCAAAAAGATGGTGGAGTAACTAACTAATCTAGATTAGATATTAATCATAGACTTTATTCGACTGTTTTAATTATTAAAGCAAGTGTAATAACAGCTCAATGTTGTTGTAGTTTCTTCGTGGATATTACACATATTGTTTTTTTCCTATAGTCATCGGTTGGGTTCATGCTCGGCTCGTGAATAATAGAGAATCGCAATTGTTGTTTGGCCGCTTTACAGTTGCGGCCCCAGTGTGAACGATTGGATTCTTCCCGGAGAGGGTACACATTATCAGAGAATGTTACTCCCTTTTATTAATTCTCTATCTTTGAGACCGGATAGTCCATGTGTTGCCTTGGTGACTCTTTTCTCGATCTGCTGCAGGAAACGAATGTCTGGTTTTAACTATGGACGCCAGCTCTGAACCGCTTACTCAACTTGCGAACAAATATACGAGTTTGTCAAAAAGGTTATTAGCGGTCGCCCAATGGCACCAAGAGCTCGCCTCAAAAGCCCCCAGTTCAAGTTCTCCGCATTTACTGTCTTCGAACATTAGAGCTAATCGCCCAAAAGTTCTAAACTGATACTCAAGTATCGCTCACTGATCGCATGTTGCAGAACGTGCTGCTCAAAAAGCAATATGTTGTTAGGTTGCAACACAGCTTTAGCAGGTAGAACTTTTCAGGTTTCATTTGGAGCTAGTTCATCTGTATCCATTCCTTAATCTGATTCAGTTCGTTCTGGAGAAACTATTGTCGAATGTTGAGCGAAAAGAGGAGCTGCTAAAGTCATGCTGTACACACTCCCTGAAGTTCCATTTACCAAGTAGTGCTTATCGATAACTGCTTGCATTGCCTTCGAAGACACAGGGAGGAGAGTTATTGGGTGATGGGCTGCAGAGTGTGAAGCGCTGCCGCGTCTAACATTTGGGGTAAAAAGTACGCTGGTTCCACATTGTCGAAACTTGTTCATCGAAGCATTTTTAGAAGAAGCGTGACGGTGGCTTGTCTAGCCCAGTAGCATTAGCCTCCACTGCTTCTCAGCAAAAATTTTCGGATCACAGAGAACTGTCAGTAAGCAGTGAAAATAACCGTTTCAGCTAAATTGCTAGATTTAAATGCGTACATCCTGGTTGGATGGATGGACGGTCGAATGCTTTACTGGTTGCATATTCCAACCTCGGAGCGTTTTGTAGCCGCAGGGCATTCGTCACTTAATCGTTTAGCATGAAAACTTGGGGGATACCATGCTTTACTGTACTACGTCTGTTGACATGATTACACAGTAGCTTGTTTTTGACTTGAAACGTTTCGGTTAGGCACTGTTGATAGATAACTTTGTTCTAATGGTCGTCGTGCAATGATTGTGTGAGTCAAGAAAGTGTACGAAATTTCGGAAAACCGGTTGGTCTCCAGCCATGCAACGCTGCTTTCCTTATTGCCATGCATACACGAATCATTTACTGAGTAGTTACAGTAACTAAGTGAAGGGAAATAGTTTCGTTGCTAATGCGCTCCGGCCATGTTACTGAATTTTTCAACCAACAATTCATATGAATGATGGGTTAAGAATTCGTTTCGAGTAAACTCCAGTCGGACCCCATATTTTGTATTTCATGTAATAAAATAGAACAAGCAGCTTTCTAGGTGCAGTTTGAAAGCATACTGTCACAAAATGAAGATTAGTTTCCAAAAGAATCTAGTGATGTTGAAAACCTAAAGTCTAGCCTAATAACTACTAGTTTTGAATGCTTTATGACCAAATCATCCAGTAGTGGTATTATTACAAGGGAGCAATTGCAGTCATTTAAGGAGCTAAGGTCAACTAAAGATTTAATAATCTCTGGATCAGGCAAATGCTCGGCTATTGTGTTAATAGATGAGAGTGACTATATATGCAAGATGCAACATATCTTTAGTGATGAGTGTAAGTCCCAGAAGCTCATAACATGGAAAGCCAACAAAGAGGAATTTGAGAAACAGCTAACCAGCTGCCTCAGGCGAATGATGCGAGCAAATCTTATCACAAAGAAGGAATTCAAACAGCTGAAAACTACTACTTCACAATTTCACAGGCATGTTAGCGCATTGTACCAAGCTTTTAGCGTGACACCTTTTCGAAATCGCGAGCCGTGTTTTCAAGTTTGCTAGCCTAAGAACGCTTGGCGTCGTTGACATTCATTGGTCATTGGATGTTAGTCAATGGGACACCGGTTGGAAGCCCCGAGCATAAGCGACGAACAGTCTAATGAAAGTGGTCGAGCATCACCATCTGTTCTGTCTTGATGCCTATCTGAAGTAAACCTCACTGATTGGTCTCCAATCTGAAACCGTCCAATGGGCAACTTGTGATGCATGTCCTAAGCTTAGGCTGTAACCAGTAGGAAGAGACATACTAACCAGCACATGAAGCGGTCTATAGTTAGTGATCGCTAGCGGCTACCTGGTGGTGGCATTTTTTAGCGGCGTAACCATGGTGGCGTAGACAGGCAATCTTCTAACTTGTATTCCGCAGTCCCTTAGGTCTGAGGGAGTGAGGCAGGCCTGGAATTGCGGTTGGTCAGGCATGTGCCGTGGCTTGGACACCACACCCAAACCTGAATCAACAATGGCTGCTAGGCGGTTAGCCAATGTTGTGCGATTGATATTGCGACGACCATGGGGGACATTGTTCCCACTGAAGTTGGTAAACTAACCTGAAGCTGAACAACGAAAGTTCTGTGGGTGCTTACTTCTATCACGGTTGATGACTAAACACAAACTAAGGATTTCAAGCGTGGCAGTGACAAGACGTCCGTGAGTGTTCGTTCGTCATCACAGCCGTGGGCGACCTTGTTAAGCAGTTATCACTTCAGTGTCTCCATGTATGGCGTTATTCAAAGATCAAAGGAACCTATGTATTCATAGGATAATTAGGTTTTACTTCCATATGGTCGCAGGTCTTTGTTGAGACGCTTTGACAAGTGGATCTCTGAATGGCACCATTAGAAGCACAGTAAATGCAAACGGAACCAGTCAGTTACCTCCATGGATTGGAATGCTATCCTCATGAAATCAGCATTTCTCAACAAAGAAACACCTAAAGGGGCTACAATGACTACCGTACTTATACATGGTACATCCTCCTGCTAGATAAAACGCAAGGCTGATAATTAGTAACGAGGCACGCACTTTCTGCTAATTCAGGTGAGTACTTGGAATAGACAAACACTGTTGTCTCACCCACGCGCGTTCCTACATCATGTTTGCAATCATTTACAATGGCGACCGCGCCCACTTATCCTGCCATGGGCCACTGTTGCAGCCGCTTAGAAGCACTTATGTGTGCATGCCGTGACACACGTTGTTATCGTGTTAGCAACTACTTGGAAACATTGTGCCATTGGAAAGTAGGTAATTCCGGAGGCATTGTTGCAAGAGGAGATTTGCTCCAAATCTTAAGCCTACACTGCGTATGCGGTGCTTGTTGGAAGGTCATGTCAGGGCCGTACGGTCACCTGGTATTTCAAGCTCATCAATCACATGAAAGTGAGCCGTAAATATCATGTTGAAACACAAGATTGACATGCATCTACGACCTTCAAATAACCACAGATCCATGGGTACTGAAGCCGTCACTAATTACAGTAGTGGCCCACAGGTGTGGAGACGAACGAACACTCATTAATGTCGTGTCACCGCCACACTAAGAACCCTCCTCTTTTGAACAATGGCTATAGATCCACTGATGGTCTTACCTACCCAGCGCCGAGTACATCAGCAGTACCTAGCTACGCTATTCCCATGAGTGTATGGCCAACTGAATCAACATAGCACAGGAAATTTGTAGCTGTAAAGGCTTTAAAATTTCTATTTGCGAACAAGTCCTAGCTTTACCTCCTTCATAAGAATTATTGCATTGTTTCCGATTACCTCACACTGCCTTAACAATCACACGCATTTCCTAACCGAAATCGCACACGTATCGATACTTCAAATTGTTTGCAGTGGCACCATTGCACCATGCATATCGTATTACGTGTGGCCAGATAAGCAAGCGAGCGAGGAAGGTAACCGTTGTACAGTCCACCCATAAGCCTTCAAAGCTTCTCTTCCAACAGCCTGCAAGCGTTGCTGCCTCAACAAAAACAACCAATCCGCTTCTTATCACTGCTCAGTTAGATGTCATCTCGCTCGCGTGGTAGTGAAACCTTACGCCAGATTGGCAGCATGACCAATCACGTCTTATGTCTCCGATTGGCTGATCACGCTCGACACCATAGAAGTGTGTTGGTACGCCGATTGCGATCAACGGATAGGCCACCGACCAACTGAGCCAATTGTACTGCTAACCCGCAAGCCTACAACAGCCTGCAGGTAGTTTTAAACAAGACAATGGTTCCAAAATATGCTTTTGTTTAAAACTACTAACATTCTGTGCCGCACCAATGCACGCCTGAAGGAAAGCCGAGGCGTTCTTTCTGAAGTCAGACGGTCCAAACGACATGACCGAAAGGATCCATACGACTGCAGACGCGCACAGCGTCACACTTGTTTGTCTTCCCTTTGATGTGGCCCCAGGCTCCACCGCAAAGTGCATCGCGTGATACGCAGAGGAGCAATGTGGTCCAGAGCATCCGAAAGTTTACTCGCCTACGAGTGAGGACAAACGGGTAAACTACCAACTGAAGTGATCGATAGTACTGGTTCACCAGCGGTTTCGTTGTCGTGCTATCGTTCAACAGGCTCGCGATGGGTACCATGCTCTCGTACTGAGCCATTGTGTCTGGTCATAGTACGCAGCGCATGAGCTGTGGCGGAAGAAGCAACGCGCGCATGCGCAGTTCGTCCATGTCGAACACCATAAGATAGACGGCGCGCACTCAGCCTAGGCAAGAAAGAGCACACGCTAGGCTGATTTATCAATGCCTGCTCTGCGGTTGGCCACTCCGCTCGTAGAGAATTCCAGGAGACCATGGGGGAGAAGGCGTTTTAGGGGGTCACAAGGGACATGTTTTGAAAAATGGATTCCACAACACGTAACGAAATTCATCTAAACTTTTCTGTTGCCGCACCCCACTCCCTCACCGCTACCAATCATGAAAATGGATTTCGCGTGCGCAAATTTCTGATTAAGCAAGGGTGGATCAAGACCGAGCAAACTCCTCGTT